AATTAGACTACCCTGAAGCAAATGCCTCCATCAAAAGCACCTGGAATTGATGGGATGCCAGCTGTCTTTTTTGAGAAATATTGGCACATTTAAGGTGATGAAATTGCCACTTTTTGCTTAAAAATTCTTAATGGTCAGGAGAGTGTAAGGAGTTTGAATAAGACCTTGATAGCTCTCATCCCCAAAATTGAGAAGCCAGTGTTTGTGTCCCAATACAGGCCAATAGCCCCCTGCAATGTGTTTTATAAAATCATATGTAAGACCATAGCCAACAGACTAAATTGTGTGCTCCCACTGATCATCTCCGAAAGTCAAAATGTTTTTCTTCCAAAGAGACAAATATCAGACAATGTCATTCTAGCTTTTGAAACAATTCATGCTATGAGAAGTGGAAGGGCAAAAAAGTTCCAAGATTTGCTTTGAAGTTGGACATGGCAAATGCGTTTGACAGGGTTGAATGGAATTTTCTTTGTAAAATGATGGAGAAACTAGGTTTTCCTGTAGAATTGATCAAGTTGGTCTTTGATTGTATTTCTACAGTTTCATATTCAATTATAAGGCAAGGAGCTGTTGAAGCTAATATCATCCCACAAAGGGGGATTAGACAAGGAGATCCCCTTCTCCCTATCTTTTCCTCATTTGTGTAGAGGGATATTCTTCACTTCTCAAGCAGGCAGAGATTTCTGGTGAAATAAAAGGGGTTGAAGTTGCAAGTGGTGTCCCCTCAATCTCTCACTTATTTTTCGCTGATGACAGCCTGTTATTTATAGAAGCAACACCTCGAGCTTGCAGGGCTCTTAAGAAAGTGTTTCAGATCTATGGGTCAGCGGCGGACCAAAAAATAAATTTTGATAAATCAGCAAGTGCTTTCAGCCCTAATGCTCCGATGCAATTAAGGAATGAGGTATCCTACACATCCAAAGTGTTTATTTTCATGACAAATACTTGGGATTGCCAACGGTGATTGGTAGGAAAAAAATAGAGTGCTTTAACTGTATAAAAGAAAAATTAAGAAAGAAGCTCAATGGTTGGAAAGAGTTATTGCT